CTTGTTCTTAGAACCAGCTCTATGCATAATTTTAAAATTAAACGGTTGTAGCGCTACAGCCCAGTGCATTTGTCTGTCATTTTGAATTAGCATTTATCTTAAGTCATGTTAGCGGGGGATGATCTGTCTGAATAGTAAACTTTTGTCCATTGTAATTGATGTGTCGTGATTTTTTGATGGCAGAAATTATGCTGGCAAATTTTTTCCCATCATGCATTTTTTTTGTTGGATTCATTAAACTTTTTACTCAATATAATGAGAAATTTTGAAGATTTCATGGTAAATTCCGCCTCTTTAATTCACTTTAATGCGTACATCAGATGCTCTGAATGAAGTTCCCAGGTAGGCGAGAAAATTGCTGTGTCAAAAAAAGTGTGATATAGTAAATTCTTCGAAACCCTCTAGTAGTCATGCCATTAATTTGCAAAAATATAATGGTCATTCTTGGGGCCGGGATAGCCTGGTCGGTAGGGCGCTGGGCCCATATCCAAGAGGTAGTGGGTTCGATCCTCGCCGGCCGAAGACTCCCCGTGTAGTAAATGGTGACTGATGCACGTTAAATCTGTCGAGTCTCAAAGTCCTCCATGTTCCCACAACAAATCAATACCTCTGGGGGTACTGATCCAGGAGTTTCCTTGTCTTCTGGATTGGTTCAAAATTACAAGGCTATGGAGTTGAACGTAAGTAGTCGTAAACCCATGAATTTGGGTCGGCTGTTCAACGACGGTTATAAAATAAAATAAAATGGTCATTCTTCAAACCAAATGGTAATGGTCTATAAGTTCCGAAACTGGTAACAAAAACAGCTATTCTTTGAGCTTTTGGACTAATTTTAATTTGCCAACAACCCTTGGCGAAATCTAACAGGCTAATAGGTTTTGCTATGGTTACCTCTTTAACGCTGTCTTCTGTGTTCGGAAGGGGGAAATATTGTGTCACTGTTATTTTGTTGAGACATCGGTAATCAGTGCTAGACTTTGGATTCTTATTTGGTGCATCCGCTAGAATCATAGGAGAAATATAATGATTCTCAACTGATTCAATAATTTTTAAGTGCAACATTCTTCTTACTTCAGTTTTTAAAATTTCTGTTTATCCGAACGAAGTTTGGAAAGGCTTGGTTACATAATTAGTTTATTTGTACTATGTTGAATGTCATGTTCAATTTTTTCTGAAGTCTTAAGCTGTAATTGAACTTGAATGCGACTCAACTAAAGTTAATGTGTTCTGCAAGATCTCATCCCGTAAATAGTACTTTCTTTTTTTCTTCTATGAGCGAAGTGTCACGTCAGATATTTATCTGTCAAGCTTGAGGTATCGCGAATGCCCCAACTAGATACTGATTCTACGGATAACATCTTTCAGTTAGATGGAACACCCTTCCATTGGGGTACGACGGTGCATGGTTCGCGCATTTTTAAATCGACATCTTCCTAATCGTTGGATTGGTCGAAGTAGAGATATCGACGATGTCTTCTGCTCTTGGCCACAAAGATCTCCGGACTTGGCACCATGCGATTTCTATCTGTGGAGTAATATGAAAGACATGGTGTATGTGCTTCCCGTGCCTAAAACTCTAAAACTATTGAAGAACTCAAAGAACGCATTTGTAATGCACTTGCGTCGATGACTGCACAAATGCTTCAGGATGTATAGCGTGATATGGACTACCGCCTAGATGTTGTCCGTATGACCAAGTAAAGTCACATAGAAAATCTGTGACGCATGTATACAAAATTCTGAAGTTCCCTCTACATTCTGCGTAAATTTTATCGATAAATTCATTTTCATTAAATAGTTACAGTTTCATTCATTAATAGTTACGTTTGAAATCACTATATTCTTTTAAAATTACCCTCTGTAACTGGCTTTTTTTTCAAGATCACAATAGCACTAAAAATACGTTACTTTCTCAAATTATACTCAAATGTCTTGTGCATTTAATAACTTTTGAAATGTGCACGAATTGTCGAAACAAATCGTGCCATTTCAAATGCAAATAATAATTAAAACTACAATTGTTAAATAAAAGTAATTAAATTATGATAAATGATGAAATAGTAATAATTTTGAAAACTCGGTTATAGATGAAAAAAAGTGTACTCTGTACAATTTATACTTTAAAATATATTTAAATAACCAAAATATTCGATAAAACGTATTAAAATTGCTTACATTCCATTAAAAATTCTGTAAAATTCAATTGCTAAATTCTAAGATTAAACGAGTTTTGGTTGCTGATTAACAAAATGACTTTAAACTCAAAGTGAAACGAGATCTATACTCCGTTGCAAGTTAAGCAAAGGCCATTACGATGTAGGATTTAAGAAATCATCCTTGATAGCATGTAGTTCCGTTTTATTTAGCTATCAACTTATATAATTATGCTTTCAAAACAATATAATAGCTTTTCAAAGTTAATTTCGTCGGACAGAAATTTAATTCGTGCTATTTTTTTATAAATAAAACGAAGGCCGTGCTACTTTACTTCGTTTCAAGAGTTGGCGATGTTGATATTCGTCCGCACTTGGAGCTTGGCATCCATTCACTTAGACGCAAACAAGCTCTCTCTATAGGGATAGTGGTTTTTCCTTAACTTGCGGCAGAGTATAGCTTTATACGAAAAGTAAATTGCGAAAAGAAGGAGAATGTAAACAAAGATTTCTTCTTTCCTTTCATATTATTATATAATCTTCAATGCCCCATAATGATCATATTCTAACGAAATATGAGTTATGAGTGACTTTGAGTTATTAAACAACAACAAAAAGTGGAATATTTAATAAATATTTATTCTCCTTTCTGCACGAAACAACTGTCATATCGCAACGTAGCATTAAACGGTATATCATCAACAATGGCGATCGCTTCGATTCTTTTCGTTTCTAAGTTCATAAGTTGCAGAAGAATGAGCGCGTGCACTGAAGGAAAAAAATGGTGGTACGATTTGAGATCATATTTGGGAATCCCTAAGAGTTCTTATACTGACAGATTTTAGAGGAAATCTGCTGCAAGGGCAGGTAAGCGAAGTGACCTCAATTTAGGCATCTCTACATACAATTTAATAAAATGTGTAAAGACTATAAATCTGTTTTCTCAAACTAACCGAAGTGAAATCACAAATGGATTACGATTGATTACAGATTGATTACATTTGGTGAGTGCTTTGATCTCATTAATTAATCTCTCGATTGTTAGCCAATTACGGATATGACCTTAAAAGGTAGTTGGATTCAGTATTAAGTCAACCAAATGCATATTGTATTGTATCGTCATTTAAAACAGTACAATTTAATTGAAAATATCAGTTTTTGTTATAAATTTAGCATTTTTATTACAAAATTTCTTTGAAATTTTCAAGCTTCATGTTTATGACTTTGCTTTCAAATAAATTTATATTGAAAATATTTTAAGTTTAGTTCTCGAAAATTGGAGCTAATTTTTTATTTTTAGACTGTCCACAGAAAAATATTCTACGATTTTATTATAAAAATGTGTCCCTTCATATTGATTAAAGAAAGCAAAAACAATTGAATTTATTAATAAAAACTATGAATTAGGATTTTAAAACAGTAGGAAATTCTTTCTTCGCCAATAATTTTAAAAATTTTTCAAAATTTATATTAGTGGAAAGATTGTCACTGCTACAGAGAGAAGACTGAAAATACAGAGTAATGTACAAACATTACTAAACACACATAGCTCTTGCTGCCATTAAAGTCGTTAATTGCAATATAAAGAATTTTGAATTGAAACCAGTAAATTAAAATATTTTAACAGAGTATTTTTTTTTTGCATCTGAGAAAGATCAATTAAGCCACAAAGACGCATTTGTTTTTATTCAGTTGTTCTGCGAATATGATTTCAAGTAATCGAGAAAACAAATGGAGGATTTCCTCATTTTTGAGGGAACGTGGTTTTCAATTATTTTGTTAATGATATCAAAAAGTCAATATGTTATCTTTTATATTTGTAATGACCCGATGGTAATACTAATGGTAAGTACTAACTCAGAATTGATTCTAGAAGAGTGCTAATGAAAATTTTAGCAAATGTTGAGATTCAAAATACGTTTTGAAAGTTTATTTTCACTTCACTGCAGAATATATTACAAAACAACAAAACGGTGCATCATAGTTTCTGTGATTAAATCAGAGATCTCTCCATTAAAGCACTTACATCTCGATCCAACACGGCTTCGCACCCGAAATCTGGAAGGTTGTTCATCGGACTGTAATAAAGTTTTTTGATGCTTCTTCATTATTTTCAAATTAAATAAATTTATAAAAATGCTCGATGCCATAAAGTATCGAAAAATATTAAAAAAAATTAACTGCAAAAATAATTATTATATGTGTAAATAAGAAATTTGAATAATATATTTTGTTTGACGGAATCTTCGGAAGTGGTGGTTTTTTACCAATACAAATTAGCTTTTATCTGCCATAATAAGATCGGTAACTGAACAATCCTACCGATCTCCCACACGGATAACAAAAATTGAGCTCGAACTCACCCTTACCATCGACACTCGAAGAATTTAATTCATTATGGTGTCGGCTTATAACTATGCAAACCAGGCAAATCCACCAATTAGCTTTCTTCTGAAATAGTAACAACTGTTAGAATGCTTAGAATATGATAATCGATAGGTCGAAATTTGTACTTTTAGAATAAATGCGCTTAAAGGAGCGTACTCTTAATTTTGGTTAAAAAAAATAGAAAAACTGTTTTCTTTTGTGGTTCATTGTGTTTTTTTCCTTAAAAGATCTTTGATGGGGTTTGTGAAAATGAAATTTTTTGCTAAAACCAGCAATTTATAAACTGAACAAATAAGCTTGAGAGGACAAATCTTGATAACAATATGCAAAACTCTGTTCTGCATATAAAGAATATTTTTAGTTTGAAATAAATATTAATAATTTCAAAAAGTCAGTATAATATATATTAAATTTAAAGAAAAAAATCTTGATATAATGCCAGAAATTTTTTTGTTTTACCTTTTGTCATAATCAATTGTTTCTCAATTCCTATCTGCAAGAATGGATGGAGAAAAAGTTGGCTTAGGTATTTGGGATTATGTGATGTTCAGCTTAATGTTGATAATATCAGCTGCTATTGGTGTCTACTTTCGGTTCAGCGGAAGCAAGCAAAAGACCACGGATGAATACCTTCTGGCAGGCAAAGACATGTCCATTCTACCCGTGTCCTTTTCCCTGATGGCTTCATTCATGTCTGCTACCACCATCATTGGAACACCCATGGAAATTTATTATTTCGGTGCACAACTAGCTTACGTAAATGTTTCATATATCACTGGAATGACGATATCTGCTTTTGTTACTCTTCCAGTGTATTTTGAAATGAAAGCTTCAACCATATATGAGGTAAGGCATAATTGTCTTTATAACCAGATGCTTTGAATTGCGAAAAAACGCGTTCTAAAAAGTTGCACGAGCGAGTGCGTTGGGTATCTTATACCCCAATGCTCGAATTTTGATGTAAATATTGTTCAGTTGAACTGTTTTTCATTTAAAATAAGGAAATAAAAGTAGAATTATTAGAGAAATGGTTTAAAAGTAAGTTTATAAACAATTAAATTTCGTGTATAAAAAAACTTGAGTAAAATACATATACCACTAATTTTCACCACCAATGCACAGTGCTTATTTTTTCTGTGGGTACTTCCAACAAAATACATTCATATGGTTAAGGCATGATATTTAAAAAAAAATTCGCATTTTTTTCGTGTTTTACTGTCTTTGGTTCGCGAATTAACATTTGGGCTAAATTCAAATTTGCATTTAGACAATAAAACGTCACTGATTTGTTTAACATATGCCTTCTCTTTGCAGTCCATAAACCCTTCAATAAATACTTAGTATCCGATTGTTGTGCAATGCTACATTTTAATTAGCTACAATACAGATTCCCTTAGAAGCAGACGCCTCTGATTCTAAATTTGGGCACGAATGAAAGCACTGTTATTCGAGTATCTATCGCATTAATTCAGGGCAAAAAAAATTACCATTGCCACATATTAGATTTTCTGGCAATTGAATAATTTTCTAAAAGAGTGTCGAAATTATTAAAAAAATCTAGATAAACTTAAAAGTCTTGTACGTAAAAATTTTGAGAACACAAATGTTTAATATTACGTTGCATTTTTATGTAAATAAGTATCATGTAAATGGACAATAGCTTAGAAATTTTTGTCAAAGTAATAATTCCTTTTTATTTTCATTGCAGTACGTTGATAGAAGATTTGGGAAGCACACGCGTATATTGACGTCTGTGACATTTGTAATTCAAATGGCAAGTAAGCTTATAATATATTCTTTATACTTCTCTTTAAATTCAATTTTTATAAATTAAATATCAAGATTGAGCACGTTGTTTAGCTATAATAATGTAGTTATGTTATTCTTTCTATTCAATAAATTTTTTTGACCAAACTAAGAAATAACGTGTTAAAAAAAACTGGCAATTAACTGAATTAGCAATTTATCTGATTTCATTCAATCTAATGAATGTAATTATTAATAATGAAAATTGTTTCTGTTTTAGATTTTGTACATGTCTATCGTTTTGTATGCCCCAGCATTGGCATTAAGTGCTGTGACTGACATGTCTATGTGGATATCCATTGTTGCAGTTGGAATCGTCTGCACATTTTACTGTACTATAGTAAGGAAGTTTATATTCTTTTAATATAAAATAGTTTCTAAATCAATATTTTATTTATAAATCAATATTTTGCTAATGTATATAATAGTTTTTCTTACTTGCAATTAATATACGCCATTAGTCTTAAAAGTAATTTTCAGTCAATTAACTACACACTTTAATTAAATTGGGAAAAACCTGACGAAAAATATAATTTGTTTCTTGTCCCCGAAAATAATCTTTATTACAATGTTATATGGCTTCAATAAATCGTCCTTTATAATTTAATTTGTACTGTCCGTCAATAACTCTTTGATGCCGAATTTTTAATAAATTTTTTTTCATAGCCTGCCAGGTGACCGAGCAGTTAGTGTGTCTCACTGCAAACCCAATGACCGCGGTTTCAAATCCCGCTCATTCCATGGATGTTTCTCTCTGTGTCTTGTCTTCTGTTGCGTGTGATGTGTGAATGTGGCCCACACATTGAACGGGTATCTGTGGAAGTGTGGAGTGGGTAATTTTGCTCTCTTTCATGACTTAGGTCACAAAACGCTCACCTGGCAACAACGCAAAATGAGCAACATTCCAGGGCGAAAAACTTTGTGCCTGCAGTTTGTTGGGCACATACATTATTGTTGGAAGAACAAGTGATTTAGTTTTCAGGATATTTGGATGTATTGATCCTGAGGAATCAGTACTCAGAGCAGCCTCCCTTTGAAGAGATAACAGCAGTTATTCTTCTGGGAATCGAGTCAAACAGAGATTGGATAGCATGGACGGGTACAGCATTCCATGCAGCTTTAACATTATGCCACAATTCATCAGCCGTAGTGACTGGCAAGTGGTGGCATGCCAGTCGCTCGGCAACCAATTACCAGACGTTTTCAATTGGTGCAAGATCAGAAGAACGTGCTGGTCAGGGCAACAGGTGAACATGTTCCGTGTCAAGGAAGGTCAGGACAGTGCTGGCAACATGCTGTCGTGCATTGTCCTACTGAAACGTAACGTTATGGAAGTATCGAAGATAAGGCAGAGTAACTGGCCCCAACACATCAGAAGCGTGACGGCTGCAGTTCAAACTGTCGGCAATGAGAACAAGAGGTGTTCGAGACGTGTATCCAATGGCACCCCATACCATTCTTCCTGGTGATGGGCCAGTATGACGATATCGAATGCTAGCTGCCGATGGGCATTCTTCACGATGTCAGCTAACTTGGATGCGGTCATCATGATGCTTTACACAGAACTTGGATTCATCCAAAAAGACGACGTCACGCCATTGCTGCGTCCCGGTTCGTCGTTGATCCCAAAATTGGAGGTGCTCCTGCCTGTGATGCAGCGTCAAGGGTAACCGATGCCATGGTCACCGTGCTGACAGTCCATGCTTCTGCAAACGTCGTCGAACTGTTCGTGCAGACACTTGTTGTCGTGCAAATAACCCCATTTTTTACCTCAGGGTTCGTGATGTTGCTGTACGATCCCTTAAGGCCATGTGGATAACACGTCTGTCTTCTCGGCTGCTAGTAATGGGCCGCTGATATCCTGCACTGCTTTCCATATGACCGTCATGAACCCAACGATTTCATATTCTACTAACAGTCATGTAATGTCGACCAACACGAGCTGCAATACTTCGGTATGATAAACCGCAATCCCGGTAGGCCACAATTTGACCTCGATTTGACCACAATTTGACTCAGCTTGAGACTCAGGTGTCTTTTTCTACGTTAAAAGAAAAATCTTTTAAATTGTCTTCCCTTCCATACCATAATTTTTTTTTAAATTTGCACTTTTTTGCAGTTATTTAGATCTAAGAGAAACAGTTATTCCTCATTGAAATTTATCTAATTTACAAAATCAATCATTGATACATTTTTGAACATGAATGAAAAAAAATCCAAACCACTTTTTCTGGACGCTGTATTTTAGTACAAATATAATTCCGATAATCCAACAGACTTCTTTTGTAACTATTAGAATGTTTGTTAGAATTAAAAAAATACCATATTTTTCAGTCTAGTACAGTTCTGATCAGTCAATTCCTTAGTCTAATTAGTTCTCATTTCGGTTTAAATATATGCATATCAAACATGAAAGAAAAAGCAAAATACAATTTGGAAACAAAAATAAAAATAGAAGCTCTTCAGTAGAGTGCAGTAATTTTGCAGGTTGTTACCCATTTCCCCCCTTAATTTCCTTTTCAAAATGCCTAACTGAATGATTGTAGTGTCCATTCCTGTAAATATGCAGAAACAAGAAAAGATAAAAAGAACAAAAGCTAAAGCCAACATCTTTTCACATTAAGTCAAAAAGAATTCAAATTTTTAGTTAGTTCATTTCCGTGCCTGATTTCATAACTCAAAATATCCTCTGCACTAATTAATTAGCATATTTCAGGTCTCCCCCTCGAGTCGTTAAGAATGAGTTCTAGAATGTGAAGATCCGATCATTAGATCAAACATTTTTCAGGGTGGTCAGTTTTTTTTTTTTTTGCGCACTGTACTACAGTTAATATTGAATCAACTAATGTTAAATAGCTGTATAGTTTAAGAGCAATTAGGTTAACTAGTTAATAAATTACCAATAGTTTCTAATTTGTGTTAAACTTAAAACTAATTGCGATATAATTGTCATAATTAGAAGGGGTGAACAAATATTTTTTTCTCGTTTTTAGAGGTCTGTCACCTAAAAGCAAAATAAAAACAACCTTGATCATTGCTTTTATTTCTACGTCTTACTCTTATCTCATTAACAATCATAGAGCTCATTTCTTTCAGATCCACATAGTTTAATAAAACAATTTTTAATCTTGAAACATTGTTATTGCTACACGTTATGTAAGAAAAATTGTTTTTATCCCTGAAAAGATTATCTCCCTATGATCTACTGTTCTCATTTCTATTTAAATTCTTGAACAATGTGAACACTATTTTCTATTCAAGATATTTTTGATTTCATGATGGAACCAATTAAATAAAAGTAAATAAAGATTTCAAAATTGAATAATTTAATGATATTTTTATATGCTTTTCACAATTATATTATGCTAATGCTTAAACAGTATTGAAAACTGCACCTTGTTGCAGCAGGATTCTTACAAGTTTTCCCAACCATAGACACAAGTCGTCCCTATATTCAAGAAAAAACCTCTATTTATGTTACAAAGGTGGAATTACTCTGGGAAGTACTCTTTACAGAAACTCAGTACTTTAACAACAGCAAATTTTGTAAATACATTTTGAAGAAGATTTAAAAATGCTTTTAAAAGTGATAGGCAACCAATGTACTTTGTTTATACAAGTAAAAAAAAACTCTTTTTAAGTATTTTTTTTAAGAATTCAGATACCTTTCCAATAAAAGCTTATGACTTTTTTAAAATGCAGCAACAGCTTCGAATTGTGTTTCTATAAGTCAAACTTGCCCTTGGAATGTGGCTTAGTTCATCTAGTGGTGTCATCTAGCGGGAGAAAGATACTGCTAGAGTTTATCTTCTAGTAAGTCGAATGGTGATGAACAGAGATATCATGCTGCCATCAATGATTGCTCGAAAGTGTTTCTGTTCCTGAAGTCCAGATTCAAGGTGTTTATGAAGAAGACATTTCTCCCGTATATATAAAATGGAAGAAAAAAAGGCGTGGTGTCAGCGTTGGCAAATGAACCCACGAGCGTGATAATAGCTTAGCGTTCTCGGATAATGACTGTATTCTATGTCCTTTCAGTATGATCATTCGTACAAAATCAGAATCAGTATGGATGGAAAATAAAAAGTGGTAGCTTAAATATGGGCATTGCTTATTTGAGCAGAAGTATTTTGCTTTCACTTTAATTAATGCCAGTCTAACCACACATCTAATCAATGTTAGTTTAGGGTGAAACTATATAATTTTTATTTTAAATTAAGTAGTGATGAATTAAATAAAGCAAACTATTATAACCTCTCTCAGAAATATATTACTAAAAAATTTATTTGGTTAACAGTTTCATCTTTTTAATGTTTGATAATATTTCATGCTGGCACGTATTTGTAACAAAAATATCTGAAAATCTGCTGTGTTACTAAGGGGGCATGCATTGAATAAATGTAACTGACAATGAAATGGTGTATTTTATGTAACTCAATTAACTTGAATATGAAATGAAAATAGTTAATAATATTTAAAAACTGGTCATTCATTTGTACTAACTAAGTATTTTGTGGTAATAATTCTTTATATAATAGATTTACATCTAACTCTTTAAATAAAATTATGTTTTTCTAAGAGGCATATATCCTTTTCCCATTTTAAGCTTTACAGTATGTTATTAATATAATATACTATAATCTTATGCTTGCCTCTTTTTGTATTTTCAGTTAAATAATTTTTCAATATGAAAGTTACTTAGGGCACAACTTTATATTTATGTAAAAGTTGAATTTAAGGAAATCGCTTTAAACATGGCTTATATTTCTCAACAACTTAGAGGTAAACTAATTGATGAGCGTTCAGATATTGCGGTAAAAGAAAATTTTGCCTTACTATGTCTATAAAATTGATATCAGAAAAAAACATGTAAAAAATTTTGGTGTCTAAATAAAACCAAAGAAATGTTTTAATACCAAAACTTACATTTTTTTAAAAAAAATTACAATATAGACAAAAATTTACTTATCTATAATAAGTATATGTATAAAAATTTACGTAATTAAAAAATAACATAAGATTTCTTTCCTTCTAAGATTAAAAAAAAATTTTTTTGAAACATTTTATCTTTTTTTTTAGATCATTAATAGCAAACCAATAAATAAATAAATAAATATTAATTAATAAAAAAAGAAGAAAAATGCTAACTTTTATTATTACATAACTAACATTTTTCAAATTAAACATTGAGCTTACTTTTATTATTATTTGAAATTATATAGGGTGGAATGAAGGCTGTCTTGTGGACTGATGTGTTCCAAAGTTTCCTCATGTTCTTTGGAGTGATTGCAGTTTTAATTAAAGGATTCTACGATGTCGGATTCGAAGATGTGTTTAAAATAGCAAGAGACGGTGGAAGATTAGGAGCTCCATCGTAAGTAACTCTATTTTAATCTATGTTTTAATAAAAATGTAAGTTTCTACTAAATCTAAATTGCACTTTTTTGTACTAAAGTGGTAATCATTTTTTTAAAAAATATTTCAAAAAAAATAGGTAATGATGTTTGTATGTAATTCATATTATTATTTTTGTCTGAAAAATATCTGTTGAGGTACTATAAGCCAAAAAAATATTGGAAAAGAAGATCTTTTTGCGTACTAAAATGTAATTTGAACGTTTGAAGAGCAGACTTCAATTGAAGCGATTAGTGGTAAAAGGGTGTATGTAGCATTTTTACTAAAATAAGTTTTTTGTTGGTCTTGGAATATCAATCACCGATTATCAAACACCGAGTAATTTTATAGACAGCCTAAAGAAGAGAATCCTACAATTTAGAAGCAATTAGAACAATCTTCAACATCTGACAAAGTTTTTTTAGTTTTTTTCTTTTTGGTTCTTCTAATTTCGATTTGTAACATACCTCCTTTTAATATTGACAGCTTTGATTATGGTATTAATTTAGTGCGTGTAATAAATAAACAGTAAAGCTACGTTTAAAAATGAGCGTGCGTACTAATCATAACATATCTAAAATTTGTAACTTTTTTTAAACTGATTCTGGTTTTTTTTAAATATGAGACAAAGTTTAGTAGGGTGACAGTCACAACTTCATACTCCTTTATAGTATTTCTTATAGATTTTAATACGTCGACGAAACAAAAAGTGAGAATAGGAATTTCCAAGTAAAATTTTTCACTCTATTTTACCAATGGAAATTTCATGCTATAAAAAATATCAAATATTTTTTTTTGCTTTTTTTATTATTTTGCTTAATAAATATTAACAAAAGGTTAAACTAAAAAGTAAATTTATTACATTCAAGATAGAAAATTGAGAGACTTGAAACAAAAATTGGGTGAAAATTACAAAATGTCAAAGAAAACGCCTAGAGTATTTCGTACTGGAGATATTGTGCAGTTTTGGTTATTAAAATAATCATGCCCAAATGTACCATCAGTTCAAAATGCAACACGATTTAAGTAGCATGAGTAAAACTAGATAAACTAACTTTTTTTTATTTGATTTGATCTTCACAAATGGTTAATTCAAACTTGCATCGTTCTTGTCCAAATTCTCGGAATTCTATACGAGATAAAAACCATTTTGGGCCTTTTTCTGCTACTTCTGTTTGTAATGAATCACGATGTTTCGATATCACTGTTTATCTTTTCTCTTTTTTTTCTTCCTTTTTTTCGTTAAAAATGTCTTGATTCTCTCGGACCAAAATTTTAGAAGTATTTATCTAGGTTGCTTTTCTGAAGCAATACATAGAGGTTTATAATGGTTTGAATGGAACACAGTAAACCTTAGATCCTTTTTGCTTTTAAAAATGCGAAATCTTGAAATATAATTTAATTTCCTTTTTTATTGAATGTTTAATTAAGTAAATTCATTTGACTATTCTATTGAACATGCTTTACATGCTTTAATCTACATGCTTTAATTCAACTATAGGCTTGATCCTAGTTTTTACAAGCGGTATACACTGTGGAATATTATAGCACAGGGAATTATATTGTCAATGGGATCCTTCAGTGCAAACCAAGTGCAAGTACAAAGATTGCTTACGTTAAAGAACATCAATCGTTCCCGTAGGTAGGTAAAATCTTTTCCTTTCAGTGAAAAAGAAACCTATAATCCAATAAAAATCAATAATCCAAATAAAACCTATAATCCAAATAATAAATATTTTAATTAGCGTAATTGGTCTCTGCTTTGTTTCTCTGGATAACACGAAACGAAATGGCCTAAAACCGTTTCTTTTATCCCCAGCGTATTCTTATTGCCCACAAAATAATGGTTAATAGTAACTTCACAAACAAATGAGAACCAAATTTTATTGATTGCCAAAAGCATAAATGTAACAAAAGATTTAAAATTATTTTTTACCTATAAATTACTTATTCATTTCTTATTTAACATATTTTCTCGTAATTAATATTTTTAGCATCATTCTAGATTGTACTTTGATTTCCTTTTAGCATCATTCTAAGATTATGTTTTTATTCAAAATCAAAGGCTTAGGACTCAGTTATAGAAGTGAAGTGTTTCTTTGTAGTAAAACAATCCTACGATATTTCATTAATATGCAACATTTTATGATAAATATATTTAAAATGATGTAGAACTTATTTACAATTAAACAATCAGTAAATTAAATGCATTTAAATGGTAAAGAAAAATTGTTTTTCTTATAACTGTCATTGAAAAGCCGACCCAATTTTATGGGTTTACGATTACTAATGTTCAATTCCGTAGCCATGTAACTTTGAACCCAATCTAAAAGACAACGAAACTCGTGGATCGAGTACTGGGAGAAATTTGCCTTCGTGAAGAACTTTTTTGATGGAACTAACCCGCATTTGCGTTACATGAAGAGGAAGACCATGAGAACCTATCACGGTTAGCTTGATGGCAAGGGGACTCTAACCCGTGATCCGTCTACCACTGAGAATATTTCACGCCAGCACTGTGGTCGGTGCAAGCCGGATGCGGAGTTCGTATCGACAGAGATTTGAACCCGGTTCGCCTCATTGGAAGGTGAATGCTCTATCTCCTGAGCCATCGCGGCTCGTAAGAAAAGGTTTCTCAAAGTTGAGCTAAAATGTATAAAAGTAGCTCTGAAACAAATGCTGTTGAATTTGAAAACCTTATGCATTCAAAATTGAAACAGCATATACTAATGTTTGTGCTAAATGCATAGTTTCAATAGTGATGTCTGAAGAGAAATGTGGGAGAGGCTGCCGTCAGGATGCGAACCAAAGACCCATGATATTATATTAAGATGCTCTAACCAGTATAGCTGGACACTCCTGTCCAAGGAGAGTAAAGTAAGCTTTATATAGTGACCACCGCAATGATACATCTTGTCATACTAATTTCTAATTTCAATGGCACAAAGGGAATTTGTACAAAGGGAAAAGGTAGGGGAGAATGGGGTCAATTGTAACAGGGTACGATTGTAACAGAGCAAAAATTTCGAGTGTCGGGTTCTAGATTCGGTTCTTAGGTGGCGCAAAAGGTGTATTAAATAAATCTACATGTACACCCCTGCTGGCAGCCATTTTTATGTACTTTTTAAAGAGTTACACCACAAAAGATATTTTCACGCTACGAAAGTACTTTTTTTGGTATCTGAATATTATATTGTAACAAAGTATTTTTGTTTAAACAAATAAAAATTATTAACCGAATATGTAAGTGGACACCTTAACCTTTTCCAGGGAGCTGTGACAGCAGTTGTCACATCTGAACTTGGGTTCCACTGGTGGGCATGTGACACTTTCAGCGTAGGAATAGGGGAAGGAAACTCCACCGCAGTTAAGACAGAGGATCAAATTACAGGGGGATGTGTTTTATTGTTTTAGTCTATACGAGAGGTCTCACCTTTTTAAGTTAAGGGGAGAAAAGTTTCTTTACTTTTCCCACCTACTTTGAAACATCTATTCCAAGTTCGGGTACTTGCTTGTTTGTATGCCGTTTTCTTAAGTTTTTTTTAGTCAGTATAAAAGTTGCTATTTTTTTTGTATAAATTTTTTTGTTCAAGTTTAGGCCATTTTTTGAAAAAAATAATTTTTTTATTACAAATTTAATTCAACGAATATTTTCAAAAGTACATAAAAAATATGGAATATCGAGAATCGAAAAGCATTCTTTTAAGTGAATTAACTCAAATTGAAATAAAATGTAAAAGCAATATATTTTACAGAAACTTAAATAAATAAAGCTTTTTTAGGTTCTGTTTTAATTTCGTTTTATAAAATCAGCTAACGGAATTTTAAAATTTTGATTATAATTGCTGAATTTTTTGTGAAATTTTTTTTT